TTTTTTTCACGCTTCCTCTGTCTCACTCTGTCACTCAAATTTTATATTCTCCTCCTCTAGTTTGCACTCTTTTTAAGCCCTTATTGTCTTTTTCTTTTGTGTTCTCTGTCACTTTTAAGGTCTTTTAACCATGCCACCTTTTTTTTCTTTTCAGTGTCTGATTTTCTGGAGACACTTTATAATAATTCCCCCTTTGCAAAGGCTTTGTAAGTTTTAACTAATGGGTTAATGGTAAATACATGGATTACTAATGACTGGTCTTATAGATCGGTTATAAGCCTTATAAGAACAGCTATTGTTAGGTTAAGGCTAAGGTTGTGACCTCTTACCTTGCTGTGAATCTGGACCAAAACCATTTTATTTATCAACTTATTAACATGTTTAACTGCAGATATGATAGCTTATACAAAATAGTAAAAGCTCCAAGTACTGGTTGGCCAATATTATAGCTGCATTATTTCCAAAATAAACACCATCCAGAGGAGATTTCGCAACTTGGCAAGCCAAAAGTTGTTAGTATTTGTGATTTAGCATTTGTAAACCATTGATAAATCTTTTTTCACACATGGTAATTTATAGTCCTAATATTTTTAGTATCTTTAGTCCATCTCCCTCCCTTTGTTTTTGGAATTTGTATGGATGAAGGAAAAACTTAAAATGATAATCTTGACAACATGTCAATTTTTCAATCAATCAATTATGAAACCACTAAAACTAATATATGCCTTTTACGAAATTGAATTGAATTAAATTGGCACAAAAATTCAGTCACAGCCGCTTGAAATTGGCTTTGAACACTCAAAAACACTGATAAAGCATCATCCACAACCTTTCAGAGATGTCATATCACTTTTCTGTCTAATGTAGGTTAAAACTTTTCATCATAGTTGTATAGCCATTAGTTGAAAATATGGCCAACAAACTCCAGCTGCCACTGACGAATATTAACATTTCTTGAAAGACTCTATTTTTCTTGTTGACCTGTTTTCACTCAAAAAGCTTTTAGCCCTGTTGATGAAAGCACACCTTTGATTTTTTGCAACATAATATTAGCAAGATATTGAATAGAAACACATCTTTTGTGTCCTTTCTGTCTGTCCATTTCTAAATGAACTTCATTAGAAGGAAACACTTCCTTGATGGTTTGAACTCTGTCATTCTCAGTACTGTAGGAGTCTGATATATTCATTAGCTCTGATTTGATGGGATGTCTACCCCTTTATACTCGTATTATATGCATCTTCCAGTGACTCAGTCTGTTCATGTGTGAGTGTGTTTATGACTGTGTGTAAGGATCTATAGGAGTAATAACAGAGATCAGAGAGCTTCCAAGCTTTACGAGAAAAACACAGAAAAACAGTGAAAAGGCAAGGATGAGATGCAGAAAACACCAAAACACCTTTTACAAAATTCTTGGCAATGTTGATAATGCATATTTTCAACAATGAATACTGAATTGAACTGAGAGACAGACACTTGGCAATATCGTGTTACATTCATGCCAAGAACGTAATTGCATGGAAGAGACACTGAGACTGCAGGAGAACATTTTTGATGACTGATGGAGAATATTTTTGATTCATATTCCTAAAAGGCTTTAACAATATTGTTAATGCAATATTTACAATGATAGGACTTAATTAAGCACACTAATGGACTTATATTAAACTGAATATAATGCTGAGATGGATGGAAAGATTAAGAACAGATAGAGGACAGGTGAAGAGAAAAAGGAAGAGGTATGAGGTGGTGGGATGGAGATGGAGGCAGGCTGAGCGGCCCAGAGGGAGGTATAGCTATCGACTTAGAGGTGCTGTGTGGGTGTATGGAGGTTCTGACAGATAGTGTTGCCCTGTTATTTAGTGTCCCCGGTGTTACACAGCAGTTTGTGGAGGCGATTTTGCTAGACACCTCTGGAGCAACAATACCTCTCCAACAGGAAGACAAAGATCCCCGTTTTTATGGTCTCTCTTTTGTTTTGTTTTATTAGACATTTCTTTCCTGCACAAATTGCAGAATGTGTTAATGTGTGTACGCTTGTGTCATTGTAGATGTATAACAAAAGAGCGAAAGAATGCAGAGAGGAGCTTTCATGTTTGCCTATTAGCTGAAGAAGTGTCTGGAATCTCTCGGAGAGCTGGATCCATCCACTCCACTGTCTAATCCACAACACACACACACGCACGCGCACATGCACATAGCTGCCGTATCTGTTGCTATGCCACCCGACTTCTGATGGATTTTTGTTTTGACTGAGTGTGCCCGTGGTATAAAAGGGGGAAAGAGAGAAATATTATGGGGTAAGAGAGACAGGGAAACAAAAAGTGGAAATGTGAGGAAGAAGGAAGAAGAGACAAAAGGGGAAGAAAGGGGAAGTCAGACATGTGAGAAGAGAAGAATGTGTTGGGGAAAGGAGAAAAAGAAAGGACACGGGAAAAGGAAAGCAAAGAGGAGATAGAAAAGGAAAGAAAGGTAAAACGATAGGAAGAGAAAAGGAAGGCAGACAAATAACCTGCAGCTCTCTCCCCCATCATTCCCTCCCCACGCTTTTGTTTCTACAGACTGCTGGCTGTATTAATACATACAGTAATGTGGCATTTCACTGGAGGACTTGGCACGTGGCCACTGCATGCTCAATGCCCTCATCCTTTGTGTGTGTGTGTGTGTGTGTGTCTGGGCATGCTAACATTAGCAGCTGTCAAAACAGACAGTGTTCGTCCTTTCATGTGTAGTTAGGAGTACAATAGATGGGAGTAAGATAGAGCAGAGCTGAGTAGGAAGAGAGCACTATATGTCTCATCTTTTCGATTTGCTTTTCATGTTGTCGACTCACCAGGTCTGGCCAGGTGGTGGGTGGTAGAGCTGGGTGGGGGCAAGCCAGTGCCCCCAGGGGGGCGGGTGTGGGGGGGCATGACACAAAGCTCTGCAGCCTTCCTCTGTCGGAGGGGCGGGGCTATGGGGGCGTCAAGCCGCCATGCCTGCAGCCTCCACTAGGGCGGTGACTGCGAAAAACTACACCAAAACACCTGAAAGAGAGAAAAAGGACGAGTAAGACACACAGATAGAAAGATCAAACATTAAAAGCATGCATGAAAAAGAGATCTCTCTCTTATTTGCAACTTCAGACATTTGCAAATCCTAATGCTGAGGCAGTATCACATCAATCTGATATAGCACAGGGCTACACAAACAAGTGTGCACTTTTACACATGCACACACACCCCTGTATACACCAGCAGCTAGGAAGGCTAAAGCAGCAGGACCCTGTTTGTGTACACGCTCATGTTTGTGAGACGTCCTTGCATATATTAAAGGGGATTTCTGTGTCTGTGCGTATGCATGTGTTTGCACCTTTGCTCCCTTGTGTGCATACACGTGTGTATGTGCGCATCACAGGCTGCCCCCTGGTATTTCATAGGCATAAATAATAGATATGTGTGTCTTTGGCAGTTTACACAATCAGTTTGCCTTTCCCACAGACAGACCCCCTACTGTTACTGTCTGGCACAGAGACTGACACGGAGAGAGAGACAAGGCAGGAATGACACAGGGTGAGAGAGAGGAGGAAGAGAAAGTGAGCAATGGAGAAAAACGGTAGAGAGAGAAGGATAAAGGCATAAACTAGGAAATACAGAGACATGTGGAGGGAACAAAAACAGAACACAGAGTGAAAGGAATTAATGGGAAAAATAATGAAGAGACACTGTGTCTGTTTGTGTGGGTGATGCTGCCAAGCTACCCCTGAGCAAGGCAGCAAGTTGCAGGAGGTGCTGCTGACACTCTTTGAACTCTTTGTTGAATAAATAAAGGTAACACAGCTACAGTAAAGCTAAACTGAATCCGCTGCCCGCTGAGTAAACAGTGACAAATATGTCACCTCAAGAGTACATCAAGTACCTAAAATTCAGAGGTTTTTGGGGATGATGGTGTCTAACTGATTCTATAAATTATATCAGCTCGGATATCTCTGCGGGATATTCATATGGTCAACCTCAGAAAATCAACAAACATGTCCAATGAAATCAATCAGCTATACAAGACTATTCGTATCAGGCCATTGGACAAGTTTTATAAGATTAAAAACTTTGGTGCAAATGAAACAAGTCTTGGTATAATTGTAAAAATCTTTAGTTATTAGCTTTAATGTTGTTTTTTCTCCTGTTTTGATGTTGTTATTGATGTTGTTATTTTGTTCTCTGTACTAATATGGGGGTCATAAAAGCTGTTTTTGTATCAGTGGGATTGATGGTCTTACGGGGACATGTAGACATAGGACTTTACTTCTCTTTGAATAAAAAAGTTGAAAAAGAATGACCCACTCCAATTACAGCAGTGTAATGAAACATATCCCACATGCTTAGAAGATGAGTCTTCTTGTCACTGTTGAGTCATTACAGTGAAAATAGGTTTTTACAAGTGGGAAATTACCATGGGAGAAAGCTCTTTGGAACCTCAATACCACATGACTGATGCACGCTGTTGACTCGCACCCCCTGGGCCAATCAGTGTAATTTTGAAAAAGCTGGAGTGCTGCTGTGAGATGCGTCTTTTCCCAAAGTATCATCAAAACCCAATCAGCAGTGTGTGAAATATGGCACTAATCAGATTAGGCTGTTGTTCAATGGTTAGCTGTTTGTGGGGAAAACTTAGAAACGTAAGCGTGCTTTTTTCGTACACGGCTTATTTTGCCGTAAAGTCCAATGTGGGTGAATGCGCATTTGTGCGCGTGTTAGCGCTCATTTGTGGATGCAGTGATTATGTAAATGTGCACCTGTAGCATAAATGAGTTGTAGGAGGATAAAGCGGCTGCATGGAAAAGGGAGGAGAGAGGAAAACATGATAGATGGATCTAGATGAAGATAGACAACTCTTCGTGCATATAGTCAAACAGACAAACACGCTGTAACTGCAGTCACTTCCAAAAGTAACACTCATCAATCTGCTCAGAGTGTCAGCAAGTGGTTATATATGAGTTAGTGGAAACTGGGCGAGAGGACAAGAGAGGAGAGGGGAAGGAGAAGGCAGTGGGGGGAGAGGCGAAATAAGAGACAGGGGAGATGACAAGGAAAGGAGGTGTATAAAAGAGACAGTGACGAAAGGATAAAATGAAAATATAGGCGAGGCAGTAAATGCCAGAAAGGGAGGTAGGAATAAGTGCAACAGAGGACATTAAAATTCTCCTCCACAACCTCCAGAGTGTTTTGGCGTGTGGGGTTGTGTATGTGCGCCCCAGTGGTGCTATTTGTGTTATCATTATTGCTATTAGTACCTGCCAGACACTGAAATATAAAACACTTCAATCTAACAGCTCTTGCCCCTCTTTCTTTATATTCCCTCTGCATGTTGTGCCTCCCCACTTCCTCTTCTCCTCTCCAACATCTCCTATTCTATCTTCCAATCTTTTCTTTCTTCATGACCTTCATCTTTCAATATTCATTATTCCTTCCTCTCCTTACCATCTCTCTCATTCTGTCTCTCCCCCTCTGTCTCTTTTCGCTCCTTGACAAAGGAACACGGGCATGTACCAAGGATATTCGGCAGATGGATTTCCTGCATGTGATTAAAGTCACATTAGCTGGGCTCTACTGGGAAATTTCAGTTGTTCTTTTTAAATGAGCACATGAGCTTCATTTGAAAAATTCTGAAGCACACAAGAGAAATGCAAGGAGCTCAAGGAATTTGGGGAGATTCCTTTCACGGCTTCAAATGCATTGTTTATTGTAAGTTATTTATTATTAATGATTTATTTGACATTTTTGCAGATTTTTTTTCTTTCCATACTGTTTATCATATTTACTCATACACTGTAGAACACGGTCAGATTGTTTTCTTTTTCTGTGTCGTAGTTTTAAATTGAATATTTCTGCTGCAATTTCAAGCTGTGTTAAATCAATCTGTAATTCCTGTTTCAGCTTTGGGACTGTAAGTGTTGCCTTGGTTTGCATGTTGGCCATTTGTCAAATGATTCATGGCTTTGTGTTTGTTTATTTTGATTTATTTTGGGGAGGAAAACTGTTTGGCCGGGAAGCAGTGTGTTCGTTTACTAGCAGCAAGTAAAATCACTCAGTCGTTATATATAGAGCATAATAGCTTTATAGTCAAATACTGATTTTGTTGTTTTTTGTTGGGCTGTCATTCACATCTCATTGTTGATTGCTTGCTTCTCATTGTTTTCTATACAATTTTTGCAATGGGCAATGGGAGGAAATGAAAAAGAAAAAGGCACTAATTAATTAATGTCACCAAACCAAAGACTTCTATTTTTAGGTCTGACAGCCACAAAAAACTGTTAGTATAAAGGTGGAAACCTCCTCAGATCTCCCAGTGGATCCTCTCAGTAGCAGACATCATCTCTCTTGAACTTTCCATAGCTCAAATCAATGATGTGAAGGGAAATACCAATTAATACCCTGTCAGGGTTGCTAGAGAAGTTACGTCAGCTGACGTGACACAAATGTTCATGGCCAGTAATAAAAATATGTCTACATTGTGTTGTTTGTGGTGCTCTGTTCCTTGTATTATTGACTGATGGTATTTAATTTCTTACATTTCTTACCATTTAAGGTGCATATATATAATTTATAATATATATAAATATATATAATACTGAGACGGTGGGACAAACAAGCTTGTTGTGCAGTTGACGAAACTTTAATGCTCAATATATTGTAATGTTGAAATAACTCGTGGATTAGTATCCGTTATTAAAAGCTGAGAATTTTCTTTAAATCCTAACCAGTATTGAAAAATAAAAACTTGATTGCAAAAAAAAAGAGAAAGGAAGGCAATAACACTGAAGCAAGCAAAAATGTACAAGAAAAGAATATAATTTATCAGTACACATGGTGAAATGTGCCCCAATGTAATGATGTGCATAATCGTGATGGAGTTGTCGTGTAAGTGATGTATTGGAGCTGTAGCAGAAGGTCACCTCTGCAGCCACATGTTACTGTTTCGCCCATCAGTTCCCATCATGTTAAATAGGTGGTGTGGTGGCAAGCCTGTCTGTCAGGCTATTCTCAGAAAGCTTTTTTTACCAATTTGACCTGCACACAGGGGCAGCCAAAATCCACACATGCACCCATACACACATTCGCCCACACGTGTAAATACTTGGGCGCCAAAGTGGCCTGCATGTTGGGGAATCAAGTAACACCTCCCCTCTTCTGCTTCTCTTCTCTCTCCTCTCTTCTTTCCATCCTATTTTTTTCCTTCTGTTTATTCCGGTGTTTCCTGTCCACGCTTAAGCCGGATTTATTCTCCCTGGGGTGTTGCAGGGTCTTCGTGCAGAGCCCGACGTGCGTTTCCGCTAAAATTTAACTACATACCCTGGGGGCTAGAGACCACCCACTGTGGTTGGTCAACTTGGCCTGCTTGTGTTTTCCCTGCTTGCTTGTTTATGATGCCAGTAGAGATTGCTGATAAAGAAGAAGCGAGATGAATAAAGTGTCAGTAATGTTGTTACTTTTATTCATGCTGGCTAATGTATATTTTGTATTGTATTCTTTATTGTGCTGTATAATGTAAACAAACATGACTACTGTAGGTATATGTTGATTATTAGGGTTGGGGTTGAAAATATCTAAATATATTGTATCGCAATATTTAATCTTGTTATATTGTATTGATTCTCAAAAACACTATCAGTTTTTGTGGTTAAACCCCCCGAACGCTAGGTAGCAGTGTTGTAAACGTAAACTGATGATGCATGATGTCGGATGTTACAGGGACTGTAAGAGACCATTTTCTTAAAATTAGGTTAAAAGAAAACAATCATGAAGTTAGTATTTTTTATCATTCTTGTGACATGTCCACTTTAGTTTGACTTTTAGTTTTTAATCAATATGGCTGGAATTCTGTCCAATTTGCCACCAAATTGAAATTCACCTGCACACAAGAGGAACGTTTATCCATGTGTAAAGGGGCAGGTGTCTGTGTGTGTGTGTGTGTGTGTGTGCGTGTGTGTGTGTGGGGGTGTGTGTGTGTGTGCACGCGATGGTATGAGCATTTGAATGTGAGTGTGTGGCCCGAGAATGAGTGACATCACAGCTGTAAACACACAGCCAAATTATTCACCTTCAGCTCTACCCTTTACTCCCTCTTTACACACACACATTAGCATTTGGCAGTTGGCCGGTGTTTGATCCAAGCCTTGTTTAAGGGATCTATCCATGTCAGATTATTTGTCCAAACAAACCACATTATACAATAGAGAGGGAAAAGATATTAAAAAAAGTCCTAATAACTGAAAGGGTTGACTGCGGTTGTGGTTGTATGTGTGTGTGTTTGGATGTGTGTAACAAAGGCAGTGATAGGCAGCCAAGCTCCCCTAAATCAATTTTTAATGGCTTTCTTACATAGGAGAGGGGAGAGATTGGGGCAACACAACACACTTAAACATACACACAAACACACACACACAGACACCTAAACACTTGCCGAGAGCTTGACAAATAGAGCCACATAGGTGTTGACAGGCACATGGTGCAAAAATATGTACAGTTATATAATTACACATGCATGTAGGTATGCAGATACACTGTACGTGAACACACACACACGTTGTAAGAGTGCATGTGTCCAAAAACACACATGCCACATATGTCACATACAAGGCACATACTGCTATGAGAGCTGAAAGAAAATATTAGGATTTAGGATCAGACTCAATAAGCTCTGGATAAACAAGATTAAAAACATGCTAAAGGTTTAGAGGTGGTCGGTTCTTCCATCAGTGGGAAATGGCAATTTTTGTATAAAATGTTATCATGCGTATTTTAAATTACTATTGTTGTGTTGTTTAGCAAAATGTAAATGTACAGAGCTTTATAGTCTGCCACACTTTTTTGAACACCAACCCAAATATCACCATATTGTTCACGTATGTTGGAAATGATTTGATGAGCAGTTTTGCATCAGGAGTCAGACTGGTCTCAAAGGTTGCCATGTTTTTAATAGACATGTCAAACTACAGCACTAATCATATAAGCTAGTTGGTGATAATTATTGTTTTCTCCAGGTTTATGTTACAGTGCATCTGCATTACTTAGAGGACATTTAGACAATTCCCATTAATACGTAGCTAACGTAGAGAGGCACAAGAGCCTTGAGGACATTAGGGTAGAGTGCTTCACACCCACTGCATTATCGTATAATCACAGTGCAGCTCTTGCAAGTCTCCTATCACACCTTTTTAAAACAAGGTTAGAGTCTACATAGAGTTTTACAGCAGGTAAAAACAGCAACACACTGGACAGTGGGCATTAGACTGAGGATCAACAGGACACCAAGTAATAGAACCTATGAAGGGTTTCAGATTGATTAAAATTACATAAGATACTGTGAAGGTCAGAGAAAGATGCAAGTAAGACAAGAAGGCAGCCAAATAAACAAAATATCACTGCTCTGTATATTCATACAAATGAGTCTGTCTATTAAGTTAATTGTATTGTAATGAAAGTGGAGATGAAACAGAAGACATCCAGTATATTGTCATTAGGTTAGCAAAGATCCAGCCCCCAGAGATACTGTAGCACTGTGATTAGTCAGTCAGACCTGCAGATCACATGGGGGTTTAGAGACACTTTTATACCTTACCTTTATACCTTAAGTCCATTACAAAATCAATGGATGTAAAACAGTTCCTGGGCTTTTTGAGACTCCCAATTTTTTAACTTTTATTGTACATAACAAAATGGCTGTTTATAGGATATTATTTGTATGGTCAGTCATTCAGACAAAAACATAAAAGCACATGCTTGGGTATGTATACAAACTTTTTTGGCCAGTTTTGCTGGGTGAGCAGCCTTTGCTGGAATACATGGGCTACCATAGCTAAATACATCATACTATTTTACTACATCGGTGTGTGTGGTACATCTGGTATGTTTGCATTAGCCATGCTAACCTTAGCTAGGTTAGATCTAAACAAGCAGACAGTTACCATAAGACTTCAAATCAATCGGCTTGTGGAAGAAAAAAAAGAACTCTTCCCTAATATCATGTCATTTACTGTTTATGTCCTGCAGGGTATGTTGTTCTTTTCAAACATTAAAGCCATACGTATCTTTACAGCATATTGTTTATTTTAAGGTTTTACACTTCAATGGTTTACTGCTGCCCGTCTTTGTCTACGTGCGTCTTTCGTGCTTAGCTGTAAAATATAAATAACAAAAAGAAAATCAAGGAATACTGTCAAAAGGAACCTTACTTGAATCATACGCCCATACACTGATGGTCTCACTTTCTCTTACTGGCCACCTCTACATATTTGCCCCAAAACCACAGCCCAAAAATTCCAGTGAATGTGTGTGTTGTGTGTATCCAGGAAACAGGTTAAGGGCTGACATTTTCAGCATTCACCTCCTCACAGTATGCACCTTTGGCCCCATCAAAAATACCAATTTGTTTGTGGGAAAAAAAGCCAGGTCTGTCTCCGTCTGCAGTCTACTTTGTGTGACATAGTACATGTTTAATTTAAGTCGTAAAATGAGGAGCAGTTAGGTTAAAATGAAGTGTATGTGTGAGTGAGGAGAGGAGAACTAACATAACAAACAGACTTACCTTTTGACCAAATATCTCAGACAGCACCAGCCTTATAGCTTTCTGCCATCAGCCATTCCCCCCCAAAAAAATATTCCCCCCAGAAAAAAAAAATAAATAAAAAAATAAAGACAAAAATTAAAAATCTCTCACAGGTCAAAACATTGAAGAAAAATAGTCACCTCTTCAGTTAAAGAAATCCATACATTCAAGATCCTGGTCAAATGATTAATATGAGAATAATCCTCCTTTCTGTATAGAGACAATCCCCCCCAGCTTCCCCTTCAACCCACCAATGAATTGTGAAAAAAAGGAGGGATTGTGTAGAAAAAAAGGAGGGATTGTAGAAAAAAAAAATGAGGTGAAGAGAGGCTTAGAGACACAAGAGGAGGGAAGAGAGGATAAGGTCCGTAGAGGGTAGAGGGATGGAGATAGTTAATCCTTTCCTTCGGATCTGTTCCCTATATGAATGAAACGTCCAGCGCCGTCCTGCTCGCTGGCTTGTGCGCTGCCGTGTGTCTGAGAGGAGTGAGTGTGTGTGAAAAGGGGAGAGACAGAGTGTGTGTGTGTGGGTGTGAGAGAGAGGAAGAGAGAGAGGAGAGAGGAGAGAAAAAGAGCGACAACAGCGTTAGTAGCTGGCGTCATGGCAGCCCTTCTGTGTGTTTGCTATGTTTTGTTGGGGGAATTTTTCCCTGCACTCAGCACGGTCGGAGTTGTGTGTGTGTGTTGTGGTGTGTGCGCTGTGTGTAGTATTTACACACATGTACACTTGAGGGCTGTCTTTCCGTTGTGTGTGTGTGTTTGTGCCCCCACCTCCCCTTCTTCTTTTCCGTATGTGTGTGCAGTCGTGCATGTGGCAGGAGAATATGTGTGTGTGTTTGTGTGTGTGTGTGTGTGTGTGTGTCCTGTCAAATATAGTAACATTAGTGTATGCTGCCTCTGTCTGCCTGCAGCTCTCCCACTGTGACAGAGAGAGGATGAGGGAGGTGGAATACAGAGAGCGATAACACGAAAGAGTGAAAGCCGAGAGAGATAGAGAGAATAAGAGCGAGTAGGAGGGAGGGGAGGGCAAGGAGAAAGTAGAGAGAGAGAGAGTGTGAGAGAGAGAGAAAGAGAGAGAGGTGGCGAGATAAATAGAGAAGAGGTTGGATGAAAAAAGATAAAGGTAGGAGGGAGTAAGAGAAAGAGGGAGTCAGAGGACAGGGAGGTATGGAGGGAGATGGAAGGGGGAGACAGAAAGAGAGATGCGAGAAAGAAAGCCGTAGCAGTGGAGGGAGGGAGGAAGAGAGGGAGGGATCAGCTGATTTCAGTGAAGATGAGAATCTCCCTTTGCCACATGGGCTTTTCTCCTCCCTATTTTTTTTTTTTCCTCCTCATGTCTCCTTCACTCAGCTTTCATTTTCATTCTATTCCCTGTGGCAGCTCTCGTAACGGCTGGCTTTGTGTGTGTGGGTCTGTTTGTGTGTGTGTGTGTGTGAGTGGCTGTACGTGCACACATGTTTTAGAGTGTGTGTACTTTTCTCACAAAAAGCTGGTTCCTAAAAGGTAAAACATTACACTTTAGGTCCAAAATATTTGGGGTTCCTCAAGAAATAAATAGAAGTCAATGCAATTTCCTCCAAGTTGGTGTGTGCGTTCGTTAGTGGAAGTCATTGTGAGACAGCAAAAATGCTTCTTTTGGAAGACACCAGTGATAATTTCTGAGACAGACAGAGGGAGGGTGGGGGAGTAAAGGGGTGTGGAGGGTAACTGGTAGGGGGGATTGTGTGTTTGTTTGCATACAGCATATAATTACTTGGCTGCTTTCTTACATGGACTGAATCATAGTTGACACACACACACACACACACACACATTGTGCTGTTAATGACCATGTGAGTCATTTGGCTCTACAACGCACCATTTCACTGCATATGAGATTGTGTGAATGTGAAAAATTTGGCTGCACCTGCGCGAGTGACTCTGAGTTTTGACACCCAAAATTGGCAAAGTACACGGATGGACTAATCTCCAACGCTTACAAATCTATTGTCAAATCTGTCATCTCTCCTCTCTCTTTCTTATTAGCAACAAGCAATCAAACGTAGCAGCTTCTCATTTCATAGGTTAAAATGACAGACGTCGCCGGCAGCAGGTCATTCCGGTTGTTGCTAATTAATATTAATTCCATGAGTTTAAGCCAAAATTAAACATCTGGTAAAAGCACTCTGCAAGAAAGCTCTGATATACCCACTGTACATTACCTGTCCAACAACAAACATACATTTCCCTTACGCCTTGGTTGAGACCAAAACAAAGTACAGTAGAACAGTTTGCTAGCAAGTTCACCATATCAGCTGTGTAAGATGTTGATTCTGACACAAATGTACTCATATGTTAAATTTTCAGTTTCAGTTCAACCAATCAATCAACCTACAGTGCAGCCCAGAGTCCTGAATCTCTATCTGCTCTAATTGTAATGTATTCAGGATGGATAAATAAGCAAGTGTTACCAGTGTAAGATAGGGAATATCATACATTCATATATTAAAAGTTAATTACCAATACAACTGTAACAATATGTCATAAAATGGATTTCAGGCCCTGTCATACAGCCCTTCTATTTACTAGTGAGCAGCACGTACCTGTACATCTTCCTGAGTTTGCACACATCACTGTCTGTCGCCAGCTTCATGGTTTTACACAGGCCAATTAAAACACTAGACTGGTCAGCTGCCCAACACATACACATAAATACAACCAGAACATGAGTCCAAATGTGGGCGCTGTGCTGGCTTCACTGGTCTTCAATGTACTTCCTGGCAAACAGAAATGTGTTTTAGCTGCCAGTAGCTGCTGCCAGTGCTGGGTATATAGGACAGACTCATCAATGGTAGTTATGAAAGATGATTGGCTAGAATGACTGGAATAGCAGTGAACATACAATATGCTGCACACAAAACTTTTTTGTTGTTGTCTATTAACGTCGAAGGACATTTTGTCGTACAAAGAGATCTGCTTTTATAAAAGCAAAGTTAAGGGCTCTGTGTGTGTTTGGGTTTTGTGTTATCCCAAAGGGGTAATTAGTCCTCTAATTAGTCCTGACCCCTCCGCTTCGGAGTGCAGGGGTCAGTAACCAGGTTTAGCCACTATGACGCAACCTTTCAGCTGCAGAGAATTTAGTGCCAGGCTCAAGGACACTTCAAATACAGAAAAAAGCTTAAAGGCCTGTACTGTTGATAACCAAAATGTATTCAGTTCAAACTAATACTTCAAGTTTTGTTGTGTTGCTGCTGTCATGTGTAATCTGTCATACGCGGTCATTTCTGGCTCGTTCTTAAATAAAAAATAAACACGTGATAAATGATTTCTTTGCACCTGTGTGAGATGGAGAGAATCAAGACGGCAAGCATTTGGATTTTATGTCCCGTCGCTGCACTCAAAATTCTCCCCCTTTCAACTTTGACTTTATTTTTCGATGACCTTTCAGTGTGCAGCAGATGAAATGACAGCTGTCTGTGATGTAACCTGATAGCAATCCATGTAGATGAAAAGGACAAAAAAGGTTTCTTGCACCCAAGCCCTTCTTGATCATCATATTCTCACTCTCACTTCTTCTCAAAAGAAGAATATTTGACACTGCCTTTCATGTTAGACTGAATTACGTAAATCACTAACAGTCTTTACTAGACTTGCTCCACTTTGTCTCTTCGTTGCATTGTGCGCCCCTTGTAGTGAGCAAAGCTAGAGAGCCTTAGCATTTGGGAAAATTAGTTTAGCATTGCTGCAACCAAAAATGTCAAAGTATATCCAGCATAAGATGTTAAAAATGATGTAAGCACTGTCAGAAAAAAATTAGTTTATAAAAGTTATTTAATTCTATAAACAACGGTGTATAGACTGTGGCCCAGTATCCTCAGGCAGCTCCTATGAGACTGTGCTAACTGATTGAGAGGGAAGAGGGTTTTAACACCAGATAAGAATTCGAGGTGAGCTTGATTTATTTGGTCCTCCAAGGGATGTGTCCACTTTTTTCGGGCTGTTTATGTGTCTGGCAAAGAGGCCTTCTGGCATGAGGATCCATTGTTAGTGCCAGCACCTCCTGCCAAGGCGACTTTTATGGCCGGTTCTGTTCCATCAATGATGCAGGAAATACGTCTTATGAAAAATGATTACTGGCTGTGGTCTGGAGCAAGAAAATGTATTTTTTAATCTTTCTGCCTGGCTACTATAGTCTTACCCAGCATTTCTCTATCAGAGTTATTAATTCCCTTGCTACTAGAATATTGGTGTATTTATTATCTAGGAGGCATGATTAAATCCCTGCACTCCTGTTCATTGCCTCTAATATTGATGATATATGAATTTAAACCCATTCTGTTACATTCATTATAAGTTGCTGTGTGAACTATATGGATGTGTATAGTCTCTCCCCTTCCTTCTCTCCTCCAACGTTTCTCTTCCTTCTCTCTTTCTCCTCTACCAGTTCTCTCTCTTTCTTCATCTCTATCGCTCTCTTTCTCACCCTATCTTTTAACACCCTCACCCGCTCCCTCCCTCTGTAATTTACTGTGCTATTGGGTGAGTGTCAGTGAAGATGAATTGGCTCTAGTCTTTGTATTAACACCAGGTCTGGGCAGGCACGTTTAGTGCTACAACCACTAGTTCCTGCAAGGAGCAAGTGACTTCAAGGCACTATCCATCTTAACATACACACACACACGCACACACACACACACAGGGAAAGAGAGATTGTGTCTATGGTTCCATCCAAGGAGTCATTGGTGTCTCTGTTCTCATATATCACCGTTTTCTATCATCCGTGAATCACACTCATATTGACCAGACAGTTTTATGACTCTTCGGTCAATACGGTCAATGAGGATTGCTCCATTAGAAATCAATCATGTTTTAATTCATGGCTTGAAACACATTTTTTCCAGACAGCCTTTTATTGAATAGAGTATTGTATTCCAATTTCTTTTGCCTTTTGGTTCTTTTATAGTATATATTATACAGTTGAAAAACAGATAGGGCATGACACGTCTGCCACAACATGCCCACAGCATGATTAAAATATGATTAAAATAAGTACCTCATTGTACTACAGGCAATGTGTCTTTAGAGACAGAAGCCACAGAAGATATTACAAAGCTGTTGTCACAGGCTGAATAGAACTCCTCATGACAAATAAAACTGAACTTGATGTTTAAAATGTCTATAAGATGGCTACTACATACACATGATACATTGTGATTAGCTATACAGAATCTTTTGGTACTGTATTTATATGCAATACTTACTAAATATAATCAACAGTTTACCAGCAATATCACACTGTGGACACAATAACTATATATATATTGTTTATGTTAACATCCAATGATTAATACACTAATTTAATTTGTCTCAAAAATATGCTGTTTTGTACAAATTAATTAATACTAACTGTTTAATTATGGTGTTACTGAACAAGTAAAAATGACAGCTGTTTAATTATAAGCCTTCTATTAGGGAAATAAG